TTTCCTTGAGTAAGTACCTTTCCAAGAAATAATTTTAAAATAAACGCCTCCCTCAAGCAAGCCCTCCCCCAGAATAAGCACATCCATCAAGAAATAATTTTTAAGCAAACATCTCCCTCGAATAAGTAATCAATATATAATTTTTAAATAAGCGCCCCCCTTCAAATAAGCTCCACCTTCAAAAAGCAATTTTTTTAAATAAGTGACCCCCACAAAATAAGAGTATCTATCAAGATATAATTAAAAAAAAACAAATACATACCTCGAATGGTCAAGATGTAATTTTTAAATAATCGCCTCCTCAAATAAGCGCCTCCCTCAATCAAGTTCCCCATCATATTTTTAAATAAGTACTCCACGCCAGAATAAGCGCATCTATCAACAAATTTAATCCCCTCCTTGATAAAGACGTAATTTTTAAATAACCGCCTCCTTCGAATAAGTGACGCATCAAGAAGTAATTTTTAAATAAGTGCCCTCCATCCTCGAATAAGCACTCCCATCAAAAAGTAATTTTGAAATAAGCGCCTCCCTTGAATAAGTGCTCCTATCAACAATCAGCTAAATAAACACCCCCAACACACTTGGCTATGTGCACACATCAAGAAGTAGTTTTACATAAGAGCCTACCTCAAACAAACGCCCTGTTATCAAGAAGCAATTTTTGAATAGGCACCCCCTTATAATAACCGCCTCTATCAAGAAACACTCTTTAAAGAAACGCCTCCCTCAAATAAGTGCTCCCCAAATAGCATTTTAAGCGCTCCCTGAAATATGCGCTCCCGCAAGAAGTAATTTTTAAATAAAAGCCCTCATAATAGGGAAAATCTGTTTTTTTTAATTTCAAACAAACGCTTCCTTCAAAATGTGTATAAAATTTGCTTATATCAACTTACAGTGGGAAATTAAAAATACAACGTTTTATGTTGTGAATAGCCTTCTTTATTTCTTTTCTGGTTCCTCTTTTGAAAATTTTATTTCAAATTTTAATTAAAACTATAGATATCCCTCTCCTCATTCGTTTATTTTATTCCAACTTTCCACAAAAAAAACTGATCCCCTTCCTAATTTGTATTTCCCAAAAGTTCATTTGACACTATTCATCAATATAAATTTAACTTGGCTTGATATATTTTCAAAGGTTCATTAATTTTTTTTTAATTTCAGAGAACGTTCCGATCATTAGCGTTGAGTTACAATCTATTGTTCTGTTGTCAACTTTGTCAGTACGTGTGTCTGTTGCAACTATTTGTCGTAGCATTATATATTATAAAGTCTTTATCCGTTTTGGTGAAAACGTTTCTTCATTCTTGTTTGAAAATATATTGTTTTGATTTTATAATCTGTAAGGAATAAACAGAAGGTGTTTCAAGAATTCATTAGAACAAAGTGCCGTGGTGAGTATATCCACGATAATACGCCAGTCTACATCTCCAAGTTTAGAGAAGATAAGTGCTTTCGAACGAGCTGGGCGTCAGTTTTTGAAGAGAAAGAAACACAACACTTGTGGCATTCAAATATATTTAATATCCAAAGAGAAATAAAGAAAAAGAAGTGTTTGCTGACTATGTGCTACTGTAGACTTAGCATAGAAGTAAAGGGGTCCAGGTATCATTTCAAAAGTCCTAATTAAAGAAACGACCTTTTTCACAGCAGCATATGACCACATCACTCCCTCTTCTCGTTCAATAGAAACCGTCTTCCAAGCTCCGAATGCATCGATCTAATTCAGGAACTGTATCGATCTACAGAATCTAACATGTCTGACGAGGACCCCAATACGGAAACATTTCAGGCATTATCAGGAGTACAACAAGGAGAAAATTAGGGCAATGTTGCGTTGTAGCTCAGGCCAGACACCAGTTTCTTCCAGTCAAACACTTGTGGCTTAAAAATTACTTTTTGATCAGATCATTACCCATATGTGAAAAACAAAAGAATTTCTAGCAATAAAACAGATTTTATTCTTGGGTTGTAACTATAACCGAGCAAAATTGAGATGAGGCGTAGGTGAAGGGGTATGAACAATCTAACGGGTGTCTTCCTAGTCCGTTTCGTTTCTCTGTGTGTCTTTTCGGGTACTGGTCAGTTTTATAGCTAGCATGGTCCTGTTGTGGTCGTCTAAAAAAAGCAATTTATCTTCATTCAGTGACTTCTCTTTGTCTGGACTGCTCGTTGAAGGATACTGATAGGTATCGGTCGAAATTAATTGTTCCGAATTCATTTTTGCGACCGGTCCTGCTGTTTTCATCTTAACAACCCTCAACTGACTGGTATTGCTACATCAACAGTCTAATGAATCTCTTCATAGATTATGTCGTGCGCATTTACAAACATAGCTGAGATGGTGTTGACCATTTATGCATTCATTAAAGCATTCCAAACGAGTCTACCACTAGACGACAACGATCCTGCTTTCTCTCTCGAGGTCAGTGTACTAATGATGAAAGGGCTTATGCTGATGACATAAATAATCATAATTGGGATAAGAATGGTCTTGAACGGAAAATCAACATCCTCTACCAAATGTTTGTAATGTCAACGAACACTCTTCTGACACTTTTGTAATGTCAACGAATACTCCTTGTCACTTTCGTTGCAGTAGAGACTTTGTAATCGCAGATACTATAGTAACGCCGTTGAACAATGCTCGTGTCAGACGTCTTCGAATAACACTCGAACTAATAGTACTTGCTCGATAATACTCGCTCGAACAGTAATCCATATGGTGATCCGAATAGAGAAATAGTATAGTGAATAGAGCAGAGAATATCGGTCCGTATAGTAATAGAGGATAGAATAGAAATAGGGATCAATTAGACGCTAAGCTAATTCCTACTTATGCGTTTCCTCTATGGTCACGTGGTCTACTTAATTCAATTATAGGATCGCCCGTGTTTGCTCACTGGCGATCTATGTTCAAACTCAAGCATCAGCAGCGACACTTTATTTCTATAAAACCCAAATGTTGCAGAAACAGAAACTATGATCTGGAATTGAAATGAAAGCAGGCATGGCACCTACCCTACAATAGTCCGAATAATGTAAATATCGTAGCTTTTTATAGGCATAAATATTTACATATTAACCACACGTGCTTTGTTAAACTTCATCAGAAGTTCTTTGTTCTGTGTAATACGTTGCTCTTGTATCTTTGCAAAGCCATTTGTCTTAATTGCAGTTTTCATAGCAGCATATGTATCTGATGGAATAAAATATCCTTCAACATAATTCGCGCTGTTTGTCAGTTCACTCACGCTTTCAAACGGGGCGACGGCGATTACAAGTTTCGCCCAACATCACAATAGTCTTGTCATATCGAGACATTCATATGAATTCCAGGCATGACACCAAACTTGTTCGGAAATATATAAACTGTCAGCTGTATACGGCCACTAAGATCAATGGTGAAAAAAGGATTTGATCGAGTAAAGCCTGGGGTCTTGGCAAAGATCAGCCTTCTTTGGTCATTGTATACTGGCACTGCAGAATCATCAAAGAACTGTACCGAATAACAGAAACCACATCACTTGAATGTGGATAACACATGTAACTCGAAGAGTAAATAATGGCATAATGAAAATAATGACGTTTCAATCGACTTCAAATAAAAGATTAGGAAGGAAATCCCCATCAATACTAGAAAGAGCTATAACACTAACAAATAACAGAAACTACATCACTTAAGGACTTTCAACAGCAGCAACAACTGAAATGGATAGCACTCGTAACTCGAAGAGAAAATCATGGCATAATTAAGATATTAACATTCCACAATATCAAACAGTGAGTTACATGTCGGGGATATCAAAATCACGTCGTTCTGGAAATTTGATTCTCTGAGTAGGGATCTGATAACAACTTACAACTGCAAGTGCTTGTCAATCGAATGCTACGTCTATTAGATACAAGGAAGTTTTCAGAGTCCTCGGGAGAGAATGCCTTCCGTTTCGGGGCCCATCTCTCGACAGATATAACTGCCCCCCGCCCCACATACACCTCCCGTGATGTGAAGCCCCATCATCTGGTTTGACTTGTTTACTGCTTGCCAACTACTTTGCATCTTTTTAAGGACTATTTCTTTCATTATTTCTTTTGGGTCAGAATGTCTAGCATTCTCAGTTGTTGTTTTGTATATTTGTTGGAAAAATGCTGATAGGATCCGTCTACCGAGGTTTTTGTTGCTGTCTGAGTTCCGGGATTCCAAACATTTAACAACAACACATCGTTTAAATGAAACCTGAAAAAAGGTTATTTTCTGAAGGAAAAGTAGAAGCAGAACGTCAGTTGAAATAACATTTATAGATTCTTTTCAAAAATATACAATAACAAAATGTTCAATTTCCCTTGCAATGAAGTTTGTTTTATCAAGCAATTAAGTATTCGTAGGGCGGTGTGAAATATGTAGACAGACTTACTTTATGATGGTCAGCCTAATGTCTCTGTGAGTGGGTAGACAAGGCCTTAGTCGGCGGCTGCTGGCTGTCATTTTCTATTGTGTGCGTGTGTGTGGATGTGGGCATACGCAGGTGTAGGTCAAACTGGACTTCGAAGTTGTTTTGAACCCCGAGAAGCACTATGCTTCTATTTTTATATCCGCAAAAAGGATCAAAATCTAATCTTACATAGCGGTGCGAACTTTTGTTAATTTGTTAGAAAATAATTTCACACTGACTCGCGAAAATCTTTTTCTCGAATTTTCGGGAGTGGTGAAGGTAGTTATTGTTATTTTCTAAATGGTCCAAAAATTAACACGTGGTAGGTCTACAACTACGCCAGCCAAGTATTTGCCCTAGTAATTATTGTCTACCAAACAAACCTCCTGATGGGATTTTATTTGTTGAAAAATATTATATAGGATTTAATTCACACATATATATATATATATATTTAGTGTTGCGCTTACTTTTCTCTGCTTGATTCCACAGAAATACCAGTCATCTTCGCATCCTTTCACCTATGTATACTATGCAGCCAGCCTCAACAGAGAGATGTTTAGCCTACCACCCCACGTCCTTGCATTCCTCTACCAGTTTTTCGTACCGTTCTCTTTTCCGGATATGTGCAGCATCAATGTTGCCTTCATGATGAATTGTGAGTTCAACTAGATGAATAACCTTTCTCTCGGCAGACCAGGTTACCAAATTGGCTTCTGGTTGATTGGTATCGGAAAGAATTTTTGGCAACCAAACAGATCTGTTGCCATCTCCCATTGCCCGTTCCAGGTCTCGTTGTTCTAATCTCGTGTCTTCTGTTTTAAGAAGCTTTGTTGACCTGGATGAACAAATGGGATAAAACATTCGCTTCATTACTTTTTTGGTTTCTTGACACTGTTTATTTCACCCATTCGATCTCTGGTAACACTATGGACGATTTTGAGTTAACAGGTAATGGAAGTATGACATAGAAATCTGAAGACGCTTAGGGAAATCAAAAGATGTCTTCCAGGAAGTAAGAAAAGTATTAAAAGATGGAAAAAATTTTGCTCGAAACAAAGGAAGTAGTGACGAATTGCTATGTAATACTATCTTATATTAACAGAAAATGTCGGAAAATTTCCTCACAGATGAAAAGATTTGAAGAGACAGAGATGTGTTTCTACCGATGTGAATGACATAGAACGTGTGAGCAATAAGGAGACATTAAAGAGGACAGGAATTGCAGAATAAGGAATACAAAAGGGAATAGTAAAGAGGAAAGAGCTAAATCAACCCAAGGCAGGAAGTTGCGGAGAGTCATGAAAGGATGTATCATATAAAATAGTGTGTTATTACTCTACCCTATTTGCTACTGGACTTCACTCAACGTCCACTAGATGGTGTGGCAATCAGCAGTATAAAGAGAAATGACTTGCTCTCTTCTTTTTTTGTTCAGGGATGTTGTAATGGCAACACGGGGCTATTTTCATCCGAAGAGACTTCTTAAATTTCACCCAACCACGTGGCGCTCTCTAAAAACATACACATTTATTTTCAACTAAGCACATAAATGTATTTTTTTCTTCTTTTGAGCTATCTCTATACGCATAAACATAAAGACAAAGAACCTTTCGGTAGACAAGGTCGAATTTACTGCTTATAAAGGTTCTTTGTGGCCCAGAGGTAAGGCACGTCAGCGTAAATGACGGTTCCGTATAGGATGCAGGTTCGAATCCTGTCAAAGAACGAATATTTTCTATGAAAATTTCTCGGACATTCAGGCCGGTAAATGTTATTTAATACTGTTTATCATAAACAGAGCATTTGCTTAAATACTTGTATCTATAAATAACAACGTTAAACATAAAAAATGTCTTTAATAAATAAATTGTCGGACCTTGTCCATTTCTTAATATATATATATATATATATATATATATATATATGGGATAACGATATATAAATTAAAACTTAATGTCACAAAACAGAATAATAAACTAAGACTTGACAGATCATTTATGTGAGATATTTAATAACAAAAGTGATGGAAACATAAGCAAAAAATACAACTAAAAATAAAATAAATGAAATCGGTTAGAGATTATATACCCCAAAAAAACATATTCAAAAATAAATGAGTAGCAAAAATACTGTTTCTTTTACAGTGTAACCCGGATATAAGAGAGTTGTCGGGACCGGAGAAGAAATCTCTTATATCCAGGTTTCTCTTATATCCGGGTTTGGTCTAATTTATATACATTAACACAGGCTCTAATTTGGGACCAGAGAAAATCTCTCTTATATCCGGGTTTCTCTTATATCCGGGTTACACTGTATTCTTTATTTGGAATTACGAATGATGGAGATCTGAAAATAAAACAGTATAAAGAAATTTTAATTAACATTACTATAAATCACAAGGTTACACATAGGTATTTCTTTATTCCCTCCCGAATCATTGGTAAGTTCTTTCAAAGAATCAACAATGGCTAATGTCAATGTTGGAACTTCCTGACAACTAAAATATTATTCAAATAAATGAAATCGGTTAGAGATTATATACCCCAAAACACATATTCAAAAATAAATGAGTATCAAAAATACTGTTTCTTTTATTCTTTATTTGTAATTACGAATGATGGAGATCTGTAAATAAAACAGTATATAAAGAAATTGTAATTAACATGACTATAAATCACGAGGTTACACATAGGTATTTCTCTATTCCTTCCTTATCATTGGTAAGTTCTTTCAAAGAATCAACAATGGCTGATGTCAATGTTGGAACTTCCTGGCAACTCTTTGTGTATACATCCTGATTGAGGTATGAACGTAATTTTTTTTTATCAACACAAAACAAAAAATGCAGTTTGCTTTTGAAAAGCCTGTAAGAGTCCAACATTTGATAAAACGCCTCTTTTAAAATGAATAGTGAACTAAGGCTATGTATTCAATAACGTCATTCATGTATTAAATAATGAATATTGTTTTCAGATGTCCTGCCTCATTACTAGCTGCACATAATCACATAGCCAGTTCGGTTTCGCATTAGGTCGCGTTGAATGTCACGGAATTACAGGTGTTGGTGTGGACATTGTTGACTGTTGTGTTATTGGAGGAACGGGTAGCTTTTCCTGGGGCACTAGATCAATCGTGGTTACTGGTAATGATAAATCAAATTGAGGTGATGCACATGGAGCACTCACTGGTCGTGGTATTTCATGACCATTGTCATATTCCGGGCACATATGTAAGCACATACTGGTGAGTTATTCCTGTTGACTATGAAAAGACCAGTGGATAGAACTGTATGAGTATCGGTTTTATGGAACATTCGACTGAGATACATTAGGTCTTTGTGCGCTCTGTAAATCGGTGGCAATAGTCCGTCGTACCGGAAGTTCATATACTGGAGGGTAACGACGGAGAAACTTTCTGTTGCGCAGTGTTATCCTTCTAGACCCATCAACACGAACGGTACATTGCTCGAATTGATGTATCTATGATCCGTCCTGTTTTGTCCCACTATAGAGGGTGGCAGCCGATCTGATTCTGAATTCTGACTAAGTCACTAACCTTGAGTGGCGGAAGACGCCGTGTATACTCTCGGAAGCGTTCCTTTGTTTTAACATGTCGGTTTGCAGAACAGCTTCCCTAAGAGATAGGGTGTCTAGCCATGTATCATGACGTTTGTAACAACCTGGTAGTATAGAGATAAAATCTTTTACAGCTCGGGGAAAGTTTCGTATCTTTATCAGGGGTATTTCTGTATTGTAGAATAGGACGCTGTCAAGTTCGGCATTCAGTCCTGTGTTTTCAGTAATGAGGCGTTTTACTGTTTTGACACCGACCTCAGCTCTACAATTACTAGGAGGGAAAATAACAGATGAGAGTCGAAGATGTAGACCATATGTCTTTAAAAAGTTTCTAATGCTAGTTGTTGTAAACTCTGGACCACCATAAGAGGCCAACTCGTCAGGGATTCGAAATGTAACGAATGATTTTCAGTGACTGTCGATTAGGCCTTTCGAGACGTTGGTTGATCTCTCAACAATAGGCCAGTTAGAATATCTGTCAACGACAACAAGGTAATTCACACCTCTGTAATGGAAAAAAGTCAGCACCAACACACATTGAAATGGATATACGGGATACACAAGAGCGTATCGAAGAGCACTGGTTTGTGAGGGAACCATACGATTGTAGTGGTTACAATTGTTTCTCATACTTATAACATCAGCTGTGATTCCCAGCCTGAACACAGATGTCTCTGCCCACGTGGAAGTAACGCCCTGATAAGCTGAGTGCAACGTAAAAATGTCCTGTCGTAAGGAAGGTGGGACAATGATTCGATCCCTGTAAACAGCAAAACTGTCAGCTGTAGATAAATATTCCCGGAATGGATAGTATTCTTGTAGAGACGGCGGTATGTCGTTGCGCGAGTCTGGAATACCTGTCTCTATCATCTCAACTAACTGATGCATGACTTCATCAATAAAGGGAGCGGTACGAACTTTGTCCTATGTTACACATTGTAGATTACCCATTGATCATGCAACAGACGAGTAGTAGACTCTGGGGCTACATCCACAGTGTTGGTATGACGTTTGGAGTATATCAATAACGGCAGATTCATAGTATGAGTATCGTTAACTTTCTAGGATACAGACGCAACGTCATCAATCAGCACCACAGATTTTGGGTCCCCAGTTGGGTTGCAAAAGACAGCGTCTGGTGCATGGTGCTTCTCTCCTGGTACGTACAACATTTTGAACTTATAACGTAAAGTCTTTTCCTTTAGATCACGGAGTCTGTCATTAGGAATGTCTTCGAGCGATCTGTGCCCCAAAAGCTTCAGCAATGATTTACGGTCAACTGTGATGACAAAGTTGTCACAACCGAGCATAAAATAGCGGGCTTTTTCAAGAGTGTTCACGACTGCTAATGCTTTTCCTTCTACCAGCGAGTATTAAGATTATGCAGCGCTAGTGAATCTACTTCCAACTCAGGTAATTTTCCAACCTTTTGTAGAGCAGAATGACACAGTTCATTCATATTTCCAATGTTTTTGGAAAAGTTTTTGACCAATCTGTATTTAAGCATGTTGGCTTACTCGAGTCGACTATGCGTACGCCATTTTCTATTTCATTGATTATCATAATCTTGGATTCCTGGAAGAGGTCATCCAGGTTCGAATCCCATTTGAATGGTATACTTGGTTTCAACAACTGACGAAATGGTAGCATCCGGTTTGTCAGACTAAACGCGTATGAAACTTGGTTCACCAAACCGAACTAAGATCGTATATCAGTGATGTTTTTTTTTTTGGTGTTGGGAAAACCAGGATAGCACGGAGGTATTTTTTTGCAATGCCAAACACTATCAGTCGTGATTTCATAACCAGTTAATTCTACATCTCATCCTGGGCAAATACAAACTTATCAGGGGTGAGAGTGATACCATTGTTTCCACATATTTCTAACCGATTACATGCCTGGAAAAAGCTCTTCTGAATATTGTCAGTCCAGAGGAGAGAGTATCATCCACACGCTTTGTTTTCTTGGGAACATCGCTAACGATTTCATCAAATCACTGGGTATATCCATCTCCTGATGCAATATATTCTTGTGGAGCAGTAAGATATTGGTACTTATCCCAAGGTGTGAGGAAAGTTGTGAAGTGTCTATCCTCCTGACAAATAGGAACATTATGATATTCATTCCAAGCATCGAAGACTGTTTTCTTGGTTCCATATGGTACTGCTCGGGTTTGATAAAACGGTGACAGTGTGTGATGGGTTTCCCAGATAGTATGAGCATTCAAACCCTGAAAGTCGATCATTTACTGAGATGTGCCATTCTTCTTTGCGCATACCACCATACGATGGCACCATGTGATGGGTTCCCCCAATCAGTACAGATTCTATTATGCCTAGTTTAACATCCCGATCAAGACTCAACTTAATCTCATCTTGCCAATGAAGGGGAACAGGAAACGGGTGTATTATAGGTTTGGCATAAGGTTCACCGTAAGCTGCATAGTTGGTCCTTTCACAAGGGGTAAAACCTGATGTTCAAATGTGTTAAATGTACTTGATTTGTACCGATCTAGTAGGTACTGTTGAAGATCCACACGATGTTCCTCCATAGCACGGAATGGTAATTTGGTAGGCCAGATAGGTGGAGGTTCTCAATTGGGGCAACCACATTTAATGACACAATTGTTGTCATGCAGTCCAATGGACTTCACATGTGTATCACCTTCAATATTCATTGCAGTGTTGGCACTATCGAATGTATCATTACCACTGTTCATTGACATATCTGCACCATCAACAGTCTCATGTACAATATTCATTGATGCATTAGCACTTTCAACTGTTTCTCTAAGTGTTGGGAAATTCATTGCAATGATACCAAGTGCAGTACATGCCTCTCAACTAAGGAATTGTCGGTAATGTATACTATCTTCCGTGTCTCCAGTACAATGCCATCAAAGGTTTTGCTAGAGAAGCGAAGGATGACGAGGCCCAGGATCTTTATGGCTTTATTGTTAGCGGCATGAAGTTTCATCATCACTGGGTTTAGATTGCGTTCATTCAATTCCAACTGGTTTACAACTCTGATTCTAGTGAGACAACTTTGGCAGCCATTATCAGCTAGTCTTTGGTTTTGATTGGAAACTTGATTTATATCCAAAACACTCATACTTATCTATGACAGTCGTTGCTGTGAGACTGGCATAAGATTGGGGTTTAGATAATTGTTGGATCCATGTATCGGACATGTTGATATACATATGATGGTCCAAGACAAGAGCTTTGTTTATATTATAGGCAGAGTTGAAGTCTGTAGTAGCACATAGTGAATCAAATATAGCACCTTCATAACTCCTGCACAATGTGGACAAGTGATTAGCACGGTTGCATTTTAAGCATGTTTGACAATATGCAGCACATATTTTTGTCTTATTTGAGCAGATGCTCAAATCTCATGGCCAAATTTACCACGTTATAAGCACAAGTCATGATTGTCAGACCTTTCCGGGGAAATTTCTGAGTTCTAGCTTGTGTAGGATTTCTGTTGCGACGAAATATAGCTTATGGTGACCTGTGAGTTCAGTAATTTGGAAGGCGAGCGTTTGCCAGATTCTTTGGCTTCAACAAACTTGAACACTTCTTCTAAAGTCATGTTCTGGTTTTCAGTTCCAAGTAAGTCAAGTTGAATTTCCTGGTCATAGAGTCCGCGGACAAGAACGTCACGTAAGATTGCATCAGTATAATTTACTTCATGATTATAGTTATTGCAGTTTTGAACAAATTTACACACACCAGCTTATCTGCGAAGCTTAGCACCAAATGCTCGAACAGGTTCCTTCTAATCTTGAGTCTTCAGACATGTTATTTAGCATCATATGTGCAACCATTATATTCTTTTCTCTTACAGCTAACTGACGAATTGCTGCAAGTAGTTCGGCCTCTGATTTCTCGATCAATGAATCACCCTGTGCTCATCCTTACACAAAGTGTCATCACAGCACTCCATTTAACTGAATAATTAGTTCTTTGTCAACAATTTTTGTTGCCTGCTTATAATCTCCCATTCTGAACAGATAGTAGGTCCAGTCTTTGCTGGTACCAGCAGATGTAGTGGTGGGTCGTTTGACTTTTTTCAACTTTGGCTGACATGGCTGCATTATGTATCATCGAATGCGTGATGATCAGCAGAGCTACAATCGTTGCATCCAGGTTAATTGTCTCGTATTTACGTGCAGGAATCGGGCACTTGACTTTCACCATTGTAGAAAGTAATTCAAAAAATCTCTATGAAGATCTGAAAATGCAGTATAAAGAAATTGTAATTAACATTACTATAAATCACGCGGTTACACATAGATATTTCTCTATTCCCTCCTGAGTCATTGGTAAGTTCTTTCAAAGAATCAAGAATGGCTGATGTCAATGTTGGAACTTCCTGACAACCAAAATATTATTCAAATAAATGAAATCGGTTAGAGATTATATACCCCCAAAAAACATATTCAAAAATAAATGAGTAGCAAAAATACTGTTTCTTTTATTCTTTATTTGGAATTACGAATGATGGAGATCTGTAAATAAAACAGTATACAAAGAAATTGTAATTAACATTACTATATAAATCATGAGGTTACACATAGATATTTCTCTATTCCCTCCTGAGTCATTGGTAAGTTCTTTCAAAGAATCAACAATGGCTGATGTCAATGTTGGAACTTCCTGACAACCAAAATATTATTCAAATAAATGAAATCGGTTAGAGATTATATACCCCCAAAAACATATTCAAAAATAAATGAGTAGCAAAAATACTGTTTCTTTTATTCTTTATTTGGAATTACGAATGATGGAGATCTGAAAATAAAACAGTATAAAGAAATTGTAATTACTGTAATTACCTCACGAGGTTCTGGTTACACATACATATTCCTCTAAAAAACAAAAACAAAAAAATTTAAAATTCTCAGCGTCTTTCTTTCGTGTAAGGCCATGTGCTGTAGCATAAAAACAAACTTAGTCCGTTGAAATTCCAAAGGACGTAATGCGTCAAACGAAAACTTTTCTACTTTGTCATACTTTTTTTACATAAATTATAAAAGAATCTTCGCGCCATAAAATCATTTATTTTGATAATTCCCAACTGCATCCGTTACATATTAGCTATTTAGCATCTTTCTAACTACAAGAGTATTTGCCATTGAATCCGGGGAAATAAAACAATTACTTACCGTTTGAAACAAACTTATTTTCTGGTAAATTTAGTGGTGAATTGTATTTCTAATTAAAGATACAATTAAGTAAAATTCAATGCGACGACAACAGTAAAAATACTGTTGATTCTGTATTTTATGGCAGAAGTGTTAAGAACTTCATCACTTTATTCAACTACAATTGAAAATTAATTAATGAAGAACTGTGCTTCTTACTGTAAAAAAAAAAAAAAATTGCTAATTTTTTATTTCAACAACTTGTCAAATCAACAATGTCCACCTGTAGTAAGAAGAATTTTTTTTTATAAAGAGGTTATAAAGAGAATTTTTTGCTACATGTGCAACTTGAAAAATAAAGAATGTTTTTGATTTGTTATTGTACAGAGAAAAAGACGATAAAATCATCCAAATGAATTATTCTATCATAAATTATTGGGCGAAGAGAAATATTTTAATATTTTTTAGGTACACACCAGAACATTAAAAAAAAAACGAAAGAAAAAACCCCCGAAAAACTCATTTTTAAAGTGTCTCCTTAGAAGAACCTAAATTTCGGTTCTATTTGAAAGAGAATGGCCTAAAATGTAATTTGCGTTAAATTAATGTGAAAGTAAAAACACTTAAGAGAGTAAGTAAATTTTAGAAAAAATAGTATGTAAAACAAAAAGTATTCTTTACGAATGAAATATTTTTTTGTTGCAATTCTAAAAATTTTCTTGGCGAGTGGAAAAAATTA